ACATATACTAACCTGCCACATACTCTCACTTTCAATACACTAAAGCCACCAAAATAGCATATATCCACACACTGCATTCATTTTAATAATATGTGAATTCTTCAAAAATTTCCCCATTATCTGCAAAAACTGTCTTCACATATGAACAGTATGTTTATGAATATATAACTGATCATAACAAAAAGTAATAGTGGACTTATCACATTTTCAACATTTCTGATCCTATTTTTACCTAGACCTACAAACTGCCAATAATGAATGAATAATTCATGCGAATAATGCCAATAATGAATAATGAATAAGATCTTTGACATCTCACACCTCAAACAAGTTGTTAAAGTATGTTCATTCAGACCTAAAGCACTAAGGTGCTGACCAACTATTCCACCTGTTTGCAGCATATGTGTAGAATACTGGTGAAAAAGCTTTGAGCTGAAGAGAGTAGACACTCATCTCGGTTATGTTGTAACTCTCACTCAAAAGCAGACAAGCACAGTCTTTAATAAGCAAAAATTAATCAGTCCCTTAGCAGACTGATCACATTGCAGGATGCAATACCAAAGATGCTGCAGATGATGAAGACTGGTACTTCTGTGTTGTAGTTACGAATTACAAGTTTGATTATCACACATTCATTACTTTAAACTAGGGCTGTCAAACGATACATTTTTTTCTTAATTGTGATTAATTACTGAATTTCAAAAATTCTACACCAAAGTGCATGTCCAAAATGTACACATATTATTACAAAGTGCATAAAAACAAAATTCTCCACAGCTACATTATTAATTTAAAAAAAATTTAATTTAATTCAGTTGAAACCAATGAGACAGCACTTGCTTTAAGTAGGAGTACAGTTTGGCTGCTTTTCTCGTTTCATGCAGGCTATGTATGCATGCAAAACTTGTCCCACGCGATGACAATGTACATAACTTGCACTCAGTCCACTAGCATCAACCTGATTAGCTGTACTAGTTGTATGCTTAGCTTGTTGATGGTAACGTTAGCTTAAGCTCGAAGTGCTTTGATGATATTTTAATTCCATTTCACAGAAGGTGCACACTGCTTTTGACTTGTCAACAGAGCCGTCTGGGACTGTGTTGTTGAAAATCTCCATGGCTGCAGCAGGAGGTAGAAAGTGTATGTGGCAGCATGACAACAAGAGCCAAAGATCTTTTTAGCAAAGATTCTTTGGTAACAGCACCAGGGACGGTGTAAAATATGAATATTTGACACACGCGATTAACACAATTAAAACGCGTTATGATCAGTCCTTAATCTCATCGCGATTAACGCGTTAATGCTGACAGCCCTACTTTAAACAGATTATTGATTGTTGAATAGTAATCACAAGTTTACAGACTTGCTGAAGTGCAGCTAAAGCCTTTGGTAAATTTGGGTACTTCAGCATGAAAATCTACTCCACAGAGCCTACTCTTGAAAATAACTGATGTCTGAATCTCTGCTCAGTGAATCATTTATTCTTTTATATTACTGCTACTTTACTACAACTGATTCTCTAAAATTCAAGCAAAGCTGAGCAGACACACTTCACACAATCGATTTATTCACAGATGGATAGATGGATAGATAGATAAGTCTCCAATGTCCCAATGTTAGCTGCTAGGCTTTGGACTTGGGTTTCTTGTGAAGGGAACATTACTGTAACTGTAATTTTGAAATTATGGCTCACATAATGAACAGATATATAAGCTAAACCTGACAGTCCTTAAAACGTCAGTTTATTGAAGCAATCAAAAAACGTAATATAGAGGCACATAATAAATGTCTGTTTTCTACATTCAGATTGTAGGTCTTGCTCCTACACAGTCTGTGATGTGAAGTCATATAGTTATTATAAATGTGCATTGGGGCAGCTTTTCCCTCATACTGCTCTGTGTGAGGTCATATTTTACTCTGTTATGCAAAGGGGTAATATTTCTCCCTCAGTCAAACCAGATCCCCTAAATTCCTTTAAAAAGACATCATTCCATCTGCCTGTTTTATTGGATGTCATGTTTTTGACAACGTCAAGAAAAGGACATTATCACAAAATACAGCTACAAAATATAGCTACAAACAATAGAAATGTTTTGAATGATCTCTACCTCCGAACACTGGTGTTATTTGAATGTCCTTGGCTGTGTTGAGTATCTACATTCTGGGCCCAAAGCCCAAATGGTGTTTCTGTGATGTAATCCTGCCTAGTGACTTGTTAAGCAAACATACAGCTTTCACTGTTTCTCCTCTAAAGACTGATTTGACTTCGTCGCAAACTGTGCCAGTGTTTGCCACTTTGCTAATTATCCACGCAAATGGCACTGTACTTTTCATGTGCATGTGAAAAGGAAGTGACAATATCTACCTATCTGTCATCCTGCTCATGATGATAGCATCATCCATGTGCACTACACTGCACATCAGGAATGTAATCCTATAGCACCATATATGGTCAAAACTGTCAACAGAAAAGTACAATATGTTTGTCACTTTCACATGCCATAATCATCTGATAGACATACATGCAGTTTCAATCATTTTGAAACATGAATTGCATTTTTGTTTCCCTTTTTTAACAGATTGTTAAAGTTTCACTGATTAAAATGTACCTTATTCTTTTATTATTCTTATATAACTTGCATTTGTTTATTCCATATTTATATATTTCTACATCTATTTATGTCAACTGTATGTTTGTCTACGTGTAGCACCTTATCACCAAAGCAAATTCCTTGTATGTGTAAAACACTACTTGGCAATAAAGCTCCTTCTGATTCCTTCATGCATAACATTTCAGCTTATTTATACGTCTGCAAACAAACTTAGAGCTACAGTATACATTGGGGCAGCTTAAAAGTGGGGATAAGCAACAGAGGACAGATCATGGCTCCACCCAGGGATGAATAATTACTTCCTCCCCCAAACTCTGTGTTGAGATTTTTGCAACAGCCACAGTTCAGGCTTCCTTGGAGGATTGAGCAACAGGGTATGGGCCGGGCAATGACACCACTTTAAAGAACAAAAAGCAGTGCTCTTATAGAGGCTTCTCGCTAGTTATTATGCCGTCCAGACACCCTTGCAAACAAATTAAACTTGGGTGGCAGGATATTCAAGAGTTGCAAGCTGTCATTAGGATGTTGTTAGGATTTCTCAAGACAACACCCTTTGGTAGCTCTGGGAGTGCACATCACTTCAGTCCACTCTGGGAGTTCCTGTCTGGCAGTTATTAGGGTCACATTTTCCATACCTTAACTTTGGTGGAACCCAACCAGTGATTACATGTTTAAGACTGTTTGCCCAATCTGAAACACAGTAGTGGAACTGTTTACCTCTTCATGTCTCCATTTTAGGACAACGTCATACCAGAGCAGCAACAAACACCACCAGCTGAGGTGTTAACAAAGTCATTAGCGGTCAGAACCCATGGCTGCAATCTGTCCAATTTGGCTCACTGGTCAATCTCTACAAAAATAAAAACACTAGTCAACTTAAATTGTGTCCTTTTCATTTTCTTGTTTGGTAGCAGTGGCTGTAACTAAACTTTTGATCAATCGCTCCAATAAGCAAACAACCACAGAGAATGGTACACTATAAAGCAACACCGCTACTAGTCGATTATTGACTGCTGAGAGGCGACGTCATCCAGAAAGTTCAACAGCAGCCAATCTTTCCACGCTGACAATTGTGGGAAAACGAGAAACCACTATCAACAGCAGCCAAAGTTTTTTGTCTTTGGTCATGGAAAATTACTTTCCCCTGGTTTCTACAGCTGCTGACCATGTGTACGCAGTGACATCCACTTAAAACACTCCGTAATATAGTTTAGCTTTTGAATTTTACATTGCACTTAAGACCGTGAATACAAGATTGTGGTTACAGTTTCCCAAATACGGCAATTAACTGTAGGTTTTGGATGCTCTTGGAAGTAAGATACGCCGTTTACAGTTACAGCATGAGTTGTTGTTTGCACAAGTCAGTTAAAGCACAGTCTGAGTTGTCAGAAGTGACTGATTTAGACTTCGTGGAGAGTTCAAGCCAACACCACCAACACTACCACCACATCGCAAAAGCTTATGATCTCATTTCCAGGCAATGAATGCCATACAGGAATAGAGTAATGACACCAATGATGCAGACTCAGGGTTGTCCACTTTCTAAATAAGCACACTCCTCACTTTACATAAACTATTCCACTAGTTCAAGCCAATAGAGAGAGTATACATAAAATGAATGTGTTTTTTCAGTTGTTATCTAACAGACTGGCCTGTGACTGTCATTTATTGTGCTGATAATACTGCTCACGCTGACTAAGGATACGTTTTATCAATCACGCACACTCATGTCGTTCATAAAACCACCACAAACCACACGGACATCACACTCGGTGCAATGAGTCATCCTGTAACTGGGCTTCTTCTTTGTGTATGTATTAAAACATATAGTGAAGCTCAACTGTCACAACAAGAATGCTCTTCAAAGAACTTTCAGGAGATGTATTGACGGGGTTTATCACATGATGTACTGAATGCTTTCCACAGCGAAGCACTCTGTGAAACACTATCTCTTTTGCTCAACTCTAACAGCTATTAGCTGTTCTGTATTGGGCTACATTAAATAGTAATAACAACACATCAATAAGTATTTGAGCCTCTTACTGCACTAAACAGAGATGTGCTCTCTTCACAACATGCTGTTTACTAACTATACTGGAGTTATGTGTCCACTTGGCTTGGATTGATTTGACTTCACCACGAGGATAATACTGACTTACTAATAACTATTAAACTAGAAAGACTACAGTGCAATCAACTTAACAAAGCAGTGTTTGTGTTTACACAGATTAAAATATGGTAGTAGTGAAACTTTCTGCAACTGTAGTGTCACTTTCTCAGTTTCTCGATCTGAGAGTGGAATTAACCCTTTCTTGTGGGATTAAAGGATGTGACAGTTCACAGCACACTACTCCCATGCAATCTCATTGAGTCAGCCTGAATACCTACCAGCTTTTTGTTTTTACCATCATCCTCGCTGGACTTCTTTTTAGAGGATTTATTCGGGTCCTCCCCACCGCTGGCTTGATCCATTATGGCTTTGGGATAGTTCACCTCCAGAAAGACTTAATGCGACCTCCTCAAAAGTTGGCAAACTCCACCAGCTGGCTTTGCAACAAAACTTGTACAGCAAACCATGCAGGTTAGGTATTTTCAAAATCCATTCCGTTTTAAAGGTAAAGAATAAATTCAAGTTGACCGCTTGCAAATAGCTCCCAGAATAGTTTCCAGTAACAGTCAAAGGGGCTGCTTGAAGGAGAAGAGGTGTGGTAGGATATGGTATCTGTCCTGGTGTCCCCTCAGCTCTGCAGTAAGTCCGTTCACACTGCCGGTAAAGGCTCTCTGAAGAACAGTAACTGTTAGGTAAACAAAAATGAATTAGCCTATCTCACAAGTGCTTGGGCGTTAAGTTGTGTAAATGTTTGCCTTAACACGTGTTTCCCTGAGCAGCCTTGTTAGTATGCGGAGTGCAGACACGTTCAGTGAAGCCAGTATATTGTAAACGATAAAACAGATGTAAACAAACATGTCGGAGTTAGCTGTAGGGAGCTCGGTTTAAAAAAAAATATACATTTGCAGACAAAGCCCTGTGTTTGGAAACAGGATAAATTGTTAGACAAAGCAAACTTACAACGGTGTAACTTAGCAATAACATAGCAGTAACCGATACAAAAACGTCTCATTGCAGCCGGGATGCTCTGACAGCTTTCACTGTGCACTGCCATGGTCATCATTTGTCTGACAATACAGTCGTTAACCACAATTAATAAACAGTTGTGGTAATAGTGGAAAATCACCGTTGTTCTCTCTGCTTGGAATACTTTGCAGTGAAGTACACTTAGCCAGGCTAGCGTAATTGGACGACCGTCCACTACCCAACATTATGTGTTTTAACAGACACAACCGTACACAAGCACATACAACACTATTCTATAAATTACAGAGTGAACAATAAATAACATGTCAAAGAAAACTCGCAAAATCCCATCCAGAGCTTACCTTTGCAACCAAACTTGAATGCCAGGCCCACGGTAATCCCGCCCACTCATGTTCTGATTGGCCTATGAGATACGTAACGAGTGGGGACTCCAGTGGCTACTGGTCAGATGTGCTGACAGTCATGAGGTCGAAGTGGCGTCGAAGGGGAGGAGACTGTTGTAACGGAGAGGTCAGTGTGATTTCACAGCAAGCGGATGGTATTCAGTTGGTAGTAAGAATAGATCCATGAGTGAATTATGGAAGGCTGGCCGCAGATGGGAATCAGGGCGGGAATCCGCGGCAACACAACATACTCTGGGTGTGTTAGGGTGCCTGTGTGTGTGTCACTGTCACACAGACACACACCTTTTCTGTGTCTGTGATTATAACAGCTGGTGTTATTGTCATATTGTTACTTAGTTACATAATAGAGTGCAGTATATAGGCCTACTGTGTGTGTGTGTGTGTGTGTGTGTGTGTGCGCGCGCGCGCGTGTTTGCATAAAGGAAAAAGGCAGTATCGTTTTTTCAAATGTGTTGCTGAAATGATAGTTGATTAATTGATTAGTCAATAATAATCAATAACAAACCATTTTAACTGCAAATATTCATTCTTGAACAGTATTTTGTCGGAGCTTTCACTCATATCTCATGGTCTTTATCAGCAGAGTTCGCTCAGTTGTCCTGGAAATGACTAGTTAGTTGTCAGAGTGTTACAGTGAAGTAGGCTATAGAACTTTGGTCATATAATCAATTTTTGATAAGCAACTGATCATTTAATGAAATAATTTAGTATTTTAAATATGGTGGGAAACACAATGTTGCCAGACAACCAGCAAAAACTCCAGGACGTTACTGCTCTTAGTAAAACTGTATGTTTAAAAATGTATGTTCAATTATTTTATGAATGAAATAATGATATAAGTTTAAATGGTTTATTGGCAGATTTTGTTATTGTTGGACAGAGCCAGGCTAGTGGTTTCCAGCTGTTTCCAGCAGGGTGCTAACCACATCAGCCAAAAGGTCCTCTTCAATCATGATTTGTGAAATTTTGGTCTCCCAAATGCTATTCTTGCCATGCATTTCCATTTTTCTCATCATCATGGATCATGTGTAAAATTAGGCTATTATTGATGTATGATTCATGCATGAGGGCGGTTCATCAAATTCACTTAAATAAAGATACCGACATGCATGCAATTCTGTGATCACCATTGAAGCATTGTGATGAACATGTATTTAGAAAGTCAAATAGAATTAGAAGCCTGTATGCCAGTGACAGAAAAATACTGAGCACAGTCTAGAGTGAAAGTGCTGATGTTTACTGGGAGTATGGTGCATTTTGCAAGAAGACGGCACCATTGGGACACTTATTTTAACATTTATCCTAAGTACTAATGCATGAGTTATGAACTTGGATTGTGGCATTCAAAAAACACTCTCAAGGCTATGATTAATACTTCGGCCTCAGTTTACCATTTTATTTTTTTGTGTTGACATGTTCTAGAAGACAAACCTTCATCAGAGTACTAATGCATGATTGACACGAAATTAGTTTGGGGACATTGTTTAGGCTTTAGCATCCCTGGCAATGGTCTAAGTATGTGTCTGATGGTTCGCAAAAGCTTTAATGAAGACACTGATGAAAGATCTTGTTCCCTTGTCTACCAGGGGAAAATAATCAAAAATACATTTTTGCCCTTTTGTTGGGAAGACAGGGACAGAATGATTTGTCTGCTGTTTATTGAGTATGTGTCCACGTGTGTCCTGCTATTTAGAGAGTATGTGTCCACTGGGAAAGTAATAATTTAACCTTGCTGTTGTGTTCAGATAAATGTTGACAATTTTTCTTTACAGTGTAATAAATGTGTTTTCTTTCATCTGATTACATGGAAGTGGTGTGACACACTTCACACTAGATATTCAAAATAATGATGACTGTATTGTAAATAAAATTATGTCTTCCATTCTTCTTGCCTTCCCCCATGTAAATCAACTAGTCCAAACTGTTGAAAACACATCAAGATCTCACATCCAGTTAAAGTCACACTCGCAACATTTCCTTCTCTCTCACAAATCTCACATTTCAAATCAAGACAAGCAAACATTACAGCCAAAAATTACATATATTAGTTATGGGAGTAAACACAATGTTGATCCAAACACTCATCAGTGCTGTTAGTGTTGGTCTATAAATAAGGCATCTCCTTCTTGCTCACATGTCATTCTGTGGCATGTGACCACCATGTGAAAGCAGCTAACTGTAAATGAGGCACTTGATCTCTTTTTTGGATCATTTCCCTGATGAGTGTTAGAATATGAAGCCTGAAGACGTGGTGGACGAGGAAGTCTAGTGATATGGAAAAATACTAAAAGAGAGTAAAACAAGACTAAGAATCCAATACGTTTGTGAGATTCTGTGAGGTTGTAATGCTTATTGTAAAGAAAATCCAACAGATTTATAGACAAATGAAAGTATTGGACAAATTAAAAGTTTGACTTGAGGGTGGATTACTGTTGCGTGCTGTCCAACTTTTTGTACAAATTATATTTTGATGCTTTGGCAACTTTGTTTTTGAAATGTTATTAAAGCCCTTTGCATTTGAATAATGCATGGTAATCTATTCAATATCTATTGAGATATTTCATTGTGAACCTCAAATATGAATACCTGTATGAAATGTCATGTCATCAGTGTGACAGTTTTTGAGATATTTTAGCTTGGACCAAACTGACCAACCAACTGACATTGCCATCAATAGAGTCACACCGCTAGCACAGCTAAAAAGAGGTGATGGAGGACCCTGTTGCCACATACATGTAAACAAATGGCATCGTGTTAGCTTGTAGTGATTCTACATCTAAGACATGTCGACCCAGGGCCTCTGAGGTGTTGAGGGAAATCAACCCAGCATGGAACCAGGAAAGTACTATGACAGCAACTTCCACACCCAGCAGCATTGGCCATTTTGGTGAGAGATGCAGAGTGAGGGAGGAACAGTTGCGCCTGAACAAAGAGATACAAGAAAAAAAGGAAAATGGCATCACGAGAGTTGTGAAAAACAGCATTATGTGACACACATGCAAAAAATTTGCAAGGCACATGCTACTGCAAGCCATGTAAATGTACATCCACATACAAACAAACAAAACACACATGCAGCCATGACACAAAATGGGACAGTCGACTGAGAAAATTCTGAACCTGGACTCAAGATTTAACAAGTTAAATCGGGCTGTTCATGTTATAGTAAACCATTTCACAGTTTTAATAAAAGATGTTGACAAGTTGAATGTTCATATGAATATCAATGAAACTGAATGCAAAACAGATGACAATATGGAAAAGTGTTGAATCTTGTCTGTTATGCCAGTCACAACTAACTAATGGGCCCTTTTGGAAACTTGCCAATGCAAATTTCATTGTTCATGGCAAAAACAGATGCTACTCAGTGTAAGTACATAGAGGAAGTTCTGTAAGTTATTTATAACAGGAATTATGATTTCAGATGAGGGGAAATATTCATCCTTTAAACTAACCCATACAGACTGAGTATGAAATTTGAGAGTTAATTGGATTTTTAATAGTATACCCACAGTTGTTTTTGTACTGATTCGGCCTGATCACTTTAAATGTCAATACATAACCAGTCCCAGTAAACACTCCTCTAAAACCACGCAAAGCCTTTCAGTCTCAGTATTTCAGTTTCCTCTTTATGATATTATGTTTGAGTCCAGCTGCTTGAAAGCAGCTCCAAACATTTAATTAGGTCATTCAGCTTTCCATCTGTCCATGTTGGACTAATTTCACAACACACTATTGGGTGTGTTGTGAGCCCCCCTTAAAAATAAATAATTAAAGTTTTTAAAAAATCATCACAACAATGGCATTTATTTGTGGTATGTATTATTCCAGTTTCTTTCTTTCTTTCTTTCAATAGGTCAACAACACAAATACACAAAAAAGCATGCAGTGAAACAGGAACTGATTCTGCAGCACATAAATAACATCTTGCACTGCGTGTTGCTATTGTTAATCCAATGTTAATCCAATGCCACAATATTCTAGTTATGACCCTGGTGATTTTGTGTCCATTTTGTGGGTAGCTGTTAACACTACAGTCAACAACCACTTGCAAACTCTATAATTAAATGCATGCAGCTGGTCTGGATGTGGGACATAATTTTCCCAAGAGTCACTGGGCATCTCTGATATGACAGACCATGGCCCTGAAAGTAGATACTCCATGATTAAAAAAAAATAATGCTTATTGCTTGTCAGAGTATGTTGTGCTTTTCCACTGGCATCAGCCGTGTCTCACCACTGCACTACTTAGACTTTGCTGTAATACAACACATCTGAAACTATCATCATATTCATTTAGAAGTCATTGGTTGAAGATGGTTGGATTAATAACATGATAAAAATCTGCACTCTGGAAGAATGTATCACTGTAGTCCAGCATTTACCATTTATTTATTAACCACCCAGCATCCTTTCCACTTGTTATGCAGAGCCATTCCTTTCCTATTACAGTATCGCAAGACTTAGAAAGATATGAGGCTGTCGTAGGCAGCAGTGGCAAAGAGCACTGTGTTTAGACCTGAGAGATAAAAGAGAAATGACTTGTAAATTATTCATTGCCCCCCCCCCCACCAGTGTACTACAAGGAAGCACCACACTCTTCTCTAGTCTGACAGAGCTCCCTATCAACTTAGGGCAAACTCTACTTAGTCTTACATAGAGTAGTTACATAGTTAGAATTGAATATATGCACTATTACGAACATTCTTTGCTCATTTTACTTGCTGCTATTTTGTTTGCTCAGTATATTTTTATGATTCAAGGGATTTTAGTCATACTGGATAAAGAATTGTATCACTATAACAAATTTTGTGTCATTTCTTTCTGAAGGTAGACATTTGAAGTAGAAAATTGTGGAAGGAAGTGAAAGAACCAAGCAGTGTTTATAAAAACTGACATTTGGCTGTGTTTGCCCCTTTTGCAAT